GGAGGGAGGGAGGAAGAGGAGGAGGAGGAGGAGGAGGAGGAGGAGGAGGAGGAGGAGGAGGAGGGAGGAATGGAGGATGAGGAATGGAGGAGGAGGAATGGAGGGAGGGAGGGAGGGAGGGAGGGAGGGAGGAGGAGGAGTGGAGTGGAGTGGAGTGGAGTGGAGTGGAGTGGAGTGGAGTGGAGTGGAGTGGAGTGGAGTGGAGTGGAGTGGAGTGGAGTGGAGTGGACCCCGTTGCGATGCAAGTTCAGTTTAGCCTAGCCTGACCTGGGTGGGACACTTGAGCGAGCCGACAGCTCGGCTCGACTCAGGACCTTGGGCTGTAACCCCCTGAGGATCCTGTCAAGATATTCCCTTCCGTGCTCGGACAATCTAAGCTTACATGGTGCCTTCAGTGAGCATATCGCCTCATCAGCGACGGCCCCGCACACACTACAAAACCAAACCTAAAGGGACGCATGTAAATTCAAGGTGTGTGTTGGTGTAGTGTGAGCCCAGCCCCCGCTATATGTACCCGAGCTGGGTTAGGGCAAGGACGCGGTCGGGGCGCTGGGCCAGCGTGGAAGCGGCGCTGGGTCTGGCGCCATGTGGCCCAGGGGCCGGGGCTGGGCCAGGGCGTCCACTCATTCTCTCCCCGTTGCTGTGGTTCTTTTGAGCGAGCGGCCGTCTTGGCATCGCCCGCGCTGCAATCATTTCGGCGCTGTCGACGCTGTGCGAATAGGGCAGATCGACGCCTCGGCGCGCAGGACAGGCGTTCGAGATGCCCGGGACGAATCGCGTCTGAAGGTGACGTGCGCACTTATTTCCCGTGCCCTGCGCGCAGTCCCGTTATCCCAGCGTCTGTTGAGCTCGATTTACACATGGCGCATACACATCAATCCAGCTAATTCAACTGTTCTCTCAGATTGGAGGCTGTCCACGGGTGGGGGCATTATAACGCGTGCTTGCTCCAGCCAGCCAGCGAGCGAGCAAGCGAGCACCGTGAATTTGATGACCCGCCCGCTCGACCCGATCCTCCCGGCTCGCTCGCTCGCCTGCTGGAGCGAGCGAGCGCCTGCTCGGGCGAGCGAGCGAGCGAGAGGGTCCGCCCCCACCCTCCATCGCTCGCTCGCTCGCTCGCGTGCTCGCTCCTGCTCGCGAGCGAACGGGCAAGCGAGCGCCGTGCGCCCGCCGGCCCACTCCTGGCCGGCTTGCTCGCTCGCTCGCAGGCTCGAGCGAGCGACCGAGAGGTCCGACTGCTTCCGTCCATCGCCCACTCGCTCGCATGCTCGCTCCAACTAGCGAGCGAGCGAGCAAGCGAGTTCATGCATTTGCCCATCCGCCCACCCGGCCCGAAACGGCCGACGCGCTCGCTCGCGCGCTTGCTCGAGCGAACGAGCGAGCCAGCAAGCGAGCACCATGCATTTCATGTCCTGCTGGCCCGATCCGTCCCGCCCAGCTTGCTCGCTCGCGTGCTCCAGCTAGCGAGCGAGCGAGCAAACGACCACCATGCGTGTAGTGACCCGCCCGCCTCGCCCGCCTCGCCCGACCCGCCCGACTCTTCCCGCCCGCTGACCCACTCCCTCCTTCCCTCGCTCGCTCGCATGCTTGCTCCAGCTAGCGAACGAGCGCGCGAGCAAACGAGCACCATGCATTCGATCACCCGCCCACCCCACCCGATCCGCCCGACTCGTCCGCTCGCTCGCTCGCACGCTTGTTCGAGCGGGCGAGCGAGCAAGCGAGCTCCATGACCCGCCGGCCCGACCCGAACCGCCCGACTCGCTTGCTCGAGCGAGCGAGAGGTCGGTATGCTCTCTCTCTCTCTCTCGCTCGCTCGCTCGCTCGCCCTATCTTTTCCTCCATGCTCACTCGCCCCCCCGCTTGTTCGCTCGCTCGCCCCCACCCATGTTCGGGCGGGATGGGAAGGGGGCCCCGGTTCGAACCCTCCCCCACCTTCCTTTGCAAGTCATGGCCCCCTCTCCCCAGTTCGACCCGTCCTGTTGCAACTGCGGGGGGCGGGGGGGTGGAGGACGGTTCCGACCCCCCGCCCCCCCCCCCCCCCTTGGACAGGCCCCCCCCTGGTTCGACCCCCCCCCCGCCCGTGGAGGGCCTCCCCCGCCCCAGTTGGAGAGGCGGGTGTCTGGGGCCCCTCCTCCCCGGGTAATCCAGGGGCGCTATTTGTTTTCGTGCCCCCCCCGGTCCCAACGTGTCAAGCGATTTCGGCTCCGAACAATCGTCCACGAGACGCGTTCTCTCAGACGTGGTCACACTGAAGGGGTCGCTGCATCCACGTATCCAGTGGTGGGTATCTGAGGCGGACGACAGCCTGGCAGTTTCGGGCGTCTTCCCGCACCCCGTCGACTCCTTCCCGCCGCTGTTGTGTGCGTTCCAGATCGAGGGCCTTCTCGCTCGCCGACGTCTCGTGCACGAGGTGCACACTCCAGAAACTCAATCGAGCAGGCTGGGCCTTCACCTTGGCGGGTCGTCAGCCGTGTCGACAGATCGTGCGGGTACGAGGGCCAGTCTGGTGCCTACGCCCGCCAACGCTTCAGTCTGCTGTGCTTCGCGCGCTTCTTGTGGCAGCCCACCGGTTCCACGGGACCTCGCGAGCATTTCTGTCCAGATTGTCTGAGCCGTGCTGATTTTTGGGGTGTCGCCACGATCGGAGCAGATATCCAGCAAGCGTATGCGATTTTTGGGTGGATGTCACGGCCGAGGTGGCTGCGTCCCGCTCCCTCTGCCTCCTCCCCCTGAGCAGGAGGGTCTTGATCGGTCTCTTGCCGTCGCAAGGTCTCGGCGCTAAGCTTTTCTCCTTCTGGCCCTGGTTAGCCGCGGGGCCCGATGCTGAGCGACCAGCTGGGCAGACATCGTGCTGCAAGGCAGAGCCGGGGTCGCACGGCACACCGCGCCGTCAGCCTTGGTAGGAACATGCTGGTGGCGTGGCAGCCGCGGGGCCCATACGTGTCCACGGGGGATCCGTATCTTTGGCGTTCTCCACCCCGGCCCGAGCCTGGTGCTACCGCCGATGTTTTGGCACATGGCCCAGCCCCGATTCGTGGTGTTCCCTCCCTCTTCTCCTCGACCGCTCGCCCCGGCAATAGTTGTCGTTGATAGCTCCTTTCGTTTGCGTCTGTAGGGGGCAGGATTTGTCCGCTCCAGGCGGCGCCTACAGTAAGCAACAGCATCAGCGCGGCTTGGCCCATTCATCCATGGCCGGACTTTCGACCACGGTCGCAAGACAGCCTCGCGACGAACATGAAAGTGATCGGCACGCTCGGCGAGGCGAGTTGTGCATATCGTCGCTGTCCGCCTGCTCCTCGCGTGGTACGTGTCCGAGAGGGAAGCAGGGGCCGCCCAGGGATCTTTCCATCCGGTGGAGCCGGAGCGTGCTCGCTCTCTCCACGTGTCCACCCTGCCGCTCTGCGCGACGTGGCACAGAAGTTGTGCTCCGATAGACAGCTCAGGCGGGCGCTTCATGCGTACTTGCTTCAAGTGCGGCTATCCTACGTCAGGGGGCCGCCTTGACAACCTGGAGACGACCTGTGAGCCCCACAAAGGGCTCGCACAGAATTCCGTGGGCCGAGTCGAAACCCGGGTTTGATCCCGAAGAGGTGGGGGTCACTGTTGATAAAGACACGTTTGCTGTCATTTAGCTGCAAGCCTGCTCGTCGTCCAATTTTTTGGCACATCTTACTTCGGTCCCCTTGACGGCACCCCGCGCCACCTCGTGGAGTCTGTGGGCAGCTTCGTGGTTGATGGCGAACAAACTTCTCGTCGTTGTCCTCGTCCTCGTCCTCCTCCTCCTCCTCCTTCTCCTTCTCCTCCTCCTCCTCCTCCCTCGGCCGCCGAGCAGGGAGAAGACGCTTCCTGCTCTGCCTCATCCTGGTACTCCTCCTCATCCTTCGCCTCCTCGTCCCCCGCCTGCTGCTTCCTCTCCTCCTCCTCCTCCTTCTCCTCCGCCTCTGCCTCCTCCTCCTCCTTCTCCTCCGCCTCTGCCTCCTCCTCCTCCTCCTCTTCCTCCTCCTCTTCCTCTGCCTCCTCCTCCTCCTGCTCATTTTTTCCTCTACTCCTCCTTCTCCTCCTTCGGCCGCGACAGCGCCGAGAAGGGAGAGAGAACACCTCCCCTCGGCGCCCCACTCGGCGCGTGCGGGAGGACGATCGGTGCCCCGCTCGGCCCCACCCCCCACTCGGCGCCCCTCAGACCTGACGTTTCCGAACAGGTGCATCATCGCAGCAGATCATGGCCGGAGCCCCAGACCCCATTTTTCTGCGTCACGTGCCTCGAGCTGGATCGATCTGTAAGGATCCCCAGGGCCCCTTTCTTCACCCCCCCATTTGGATCACCCCCCATTGTCACCCGCGCGCGCGCCGAGTGGGGCGCCGAGAGGAGGCGATCTCTCTCTCTCTCTCTCTCGCTCTCTCTGCTCGGCGGCGGCGCGGCCGAATGAGGAGAAGGAGGAGAAGTAGGGGGAAACAAAACGAGCAGGAGGAGGAGGCGGATGAGGATGAGGATGATAATGAGGAGGATGAGGAGGAGGAGGAGGAGGTGGAGGAGGAGGAGGAGGAGGAGGAGACGGCAGAGGAGGAGGAGAGGAGGAGGAGGAGGAGGAAGAGGAGGAGGGGGTGGAGGAGGAGAAGACGGAGGAGGAGGTGGAGGAGGAGGAGGAGGAGAAGGCAGAGGAGGAGGAGGAGGAGGAGGAGGAGGAGGAGGGGGTGGAGGAGGAGGAGGAGGAGGAGGAGGAGGAGGAGGAGGAGGAGGAGGAGGGGGAGGAGGAGGAGGAGAAGACGGAGGAGGAGGAGGAGAAGACGGAGGAGGAGGAGGAGGAGGAGGAGGAGGAGGAGGAGAAGACGGAGGAGGAGGAGGAGGAGGAGAAGACGGAGGAGGAGGAGGAGGAGAAGACGGAGGAGGAGGTCACCCCCCACTACCACCCGCCCGACGCAACCTTGCGAAGACGCCCGCTGCGAACAAGAGTGCGACGCCCAGAGCCGAGGGCCTCGGCGCGCGCGCGCCCCCGCGGGAGGACGAGCAGTGCCGGCTGCTCCTCGGGGAGCTGCAGGAGGAGCGGGAGACCCGCAGCAGGCGCGCGCGCGAGTGGGCAGCATACCGCGGCGGGCGGCCTCCCAACAGTCAGGCGATCGCAAACGCGCGCGCGCGAGTGGGCCAGAAATGGATCCAGGGCAGCAAGCTATCCGCCCGAGGAGGGGTTGGGGGAGCTTTGGGGCCGCGGCTTCCTCAGAAGTCCGGTCGCCAGGTGTTTTTGGGCGGGCGGAGGTCGGGGTCAATGTTCGGGGGGGATGGGCTTAGGGGAGCAGGAAGGAACGCTTCAGATTTCCAAGGGAAGATATCAGGCGATCGCAAACATGGATCGAGGGGGCGTGGATCGGCGACGGACCCCGCTTCCGTGGGGGAAATCGCGGAGCTCCGCCGCCGAACGAGGCGGCAGCGGCAGCATTTTGGGAAGGCCCCCCCCCCCGATCCATGGATTGGACGACCGCGCGCCAAATTTAGTTTTATGGATCACTAATCTATTTTTGCGCGCCCCCGAGAGTCGACAGCATACCTCGGTGGGCGGCCTCCATCAACAAATCAAACAGACTGTTCAGTAAGCATAACACGGATAGCACCCCAAGCACACACAGAGAGCTACGTGTACAAGATTTGACTGGCTCGCTACGCTTCGCCGTTGCAGTCTCGGTCGCGTGGCGCTAGCGAGGTGCGCCGTGACCGCCATTGCCGTCAACTCGGAATGGGGTAGCGGGGCGGCGCGGCCCCTGGGCTCTGAGAGAGGCGGCGGGCACCACGGGTCTGGAAGGTCCCTCGAAGGCTCTATAGATAGGGTTAAGTCGGGCGTGTCCCTCTACACGAGGTCTGGGACGATTGTTTGGGCGTTCTCTGATCATTTTTGGGTATCATTGGGCTACTTGTTTTACTTTTTCATTTTGTTCATGAGGGTCGCACGGTCATATTTCTCATCGAATTTGAACGGCATGCGGGGCTCGTCGGATTGAACAGGAACGAAGAGCTCCCTGGGGCTCATGCTTCATGTGGCTGGGGCTGGAGCTGTGGGCTCGAGCTGGATCTGGGGCTTGAGCCGGAGCTGAGCTGGAACTGGAGCTGGAACTTGGGAGCTCCTGCAAGTGTTGCTGCAGCTCCCCTTCATCCTACTCACTCTCCTCCTCCTCCTCCTCCTCGTCCTCCTCGTCCTCCTCCTCCTCCTCCTCCTCCTCCTCCTCCTCTGCTTCCTCCTCTCGGAGAACACGAATCGCTGGACGGTTGGATCGGGGCACAGCAACCCATCCTGGGAGAGGAGTTTTGACATTACCCCAGCAAAGCCTTCGAATATCAGCAAAGGTGGCCCATGGGACCTGCTGTACCTGTTTACTAGACATGCGGCGCCTGTAGGACCTGTGTGACCCATGGGACTTGGGACATCTGTGGGAATTGCGGGACCCTCGACACTTGTAGTAGGACCTCTGGGATCTGTGGGACCTGTGATACTTGTGGTACCTGCGATACCTGAGATACGTTTGGGACGTGTGGAACGTGACCCGTTGGATCTGTTGTTCCTGTGAACCCCGCGAGACGTGCGACATTTGTGGGACCTGTGGGACCTGTGCGACTTGTGGCACATGCGAGACCAGGGGAATTGTGGGTCCTGCGAGACTCGTAAACCTGTTGGACCCGTGGTGCCTGTGGGACCAGCGGGACCTGTGGGACCTGTAGGACTTACGAGGTCTGCGAGACTTGTGAGACCCGTGGGACCTGTGGGACTTGTTGGACCTGTGTTGCCTGTAGGACCTACGGGACCTGCGGGGCCTTCGACACTTGTGGGACCTGTTGGACCTGCGGGACGTTTGGGACATGTGGGACCTGTGCAACCGGTGGGATTTGCGAGACCTGTGGGACCTGGGGAACCTGCGAGACATGTGGGACCTGGGGGACCTGCGAGACCTGTGGGACATGTTGGACCTGTGGACCGTGCAGGACCTGTGGGGCCTTTGAAAACTGCGAAACTTTTGGAGCCTGTGGAGCGTGAGGGACTTGCAGAGGGCTGTCTGTGAGACTTCTTGGGGTCTCTTTGGGGCCCCTGAGATTTAATCATTGAAGTTTTTCTGGGGCTTCCCAGGGAGGTCCTTCGAAGACGCCTCGGGGACTTTGCGGGGCCTCTTGGGGGCTTCTTAGGGGCCTCTGGGGGCGTCTTGGGGGCCCCTCGGCTGTTTCTGGGGCCATGTTGGGGGGACAAGTTCGAAATGTCACCCTGCCTCCAACCGTGGTCTCCCTGAGCGACCAGGTCACGATTTGGAATGCTTCGGAGGGTATTTTCGGGCCATCTTGGGCAGTCATGGGGCTCGCTTAGGCTATCTTGGAACCCTGTTGTGCCGCCTTGGGGCTCTCCTGGACTGCCTGGAAGCCCTTTCGGATAGTTGTGGGGCGATTTTCGAGCCTCCCAGGCGGCTTGGACGCCCAGAAGACCGCCGTCTTGGAGCGTCGGGAAGCCGAAAGAGGAGAACCCCAATATTCCACCAAAACCGAAAGAAAATGAATGAGTTTTGCTTCTTGGGACCTTCTTGTGAGTGTTCTTGGAGGCCTCTTGGGGCGTGTTGGAGCGATATTTGGGGGTTTGACCGCTTCTTTGGGGTCGTCGTGGACCTTCTTGGGGCTCTCTGGGGTCGTTTCGGGAGCGCGCCGGAACGCCTGGAGCCCTCTGTGGCCGTCTTCGGGCTCTCGTGGGGTTCTCCTGGATCCTCTGGAGGGTTGCCCGAGAGGCCCGGGGTGGGCCAAATTGGTTAGGGGGGGCGTTTTTCCCGAGGTCCCTGGCCCTATAAAAAGATTTGAGCCAGAACATGTGTGTATGTAAATCATGTGTATATATATATATATATATATATATATATATATGTATGTATGTAAAGGTACATTGGTATATGTGCATACATATGCACATATCGATACATACATTTATGTTGTTTCATGTGCTGGTCTTTCTTGTTATATATATATATATATATATATATATATATATATATGCACACAGGTTAGTTCCCTCAGCAATGCTTGCACTTAGGGGTTCTTACTTCTGCTCGGGAGCTGGGCCGTGTGGCTGGTCTGGCGGCTATTTTGTCGCCATCGCCGCCCCGCCGTTGCCTGGTCGCCGCCTCGTCGTCTGGGCCGTGTGGCTAGTCTAGCGGCTATGTTGTCGCCGTCGCCACCCCGTCGCCGCCTCGTCGCTGCCTCGTCGCCGCCGCTGGGTTGCACCACGTAGCTTGCACGAAGAAGGTCGCGCTTGTGACGTGCTCTTGGATCTCTCAGAGCACACAACATAGATTGCAAAACGCAGATATTGAAATTCCTATTTAAAATAACCAGGACCCCCCAACCCCCCCCAGGGACTCTTCGGACGCCCTTTCGGACGTCTCGGCGGTCCCCTGGACGCCCTTGGAAATGGTCCGCTGGCCCTTCTGGGCCTCCCAGGGCGCCTTGGCTTGCGAGCAGACTAAAGGCGATCAGAGGGGGCGCGCGAGGACGGCCCAAGAGGGCCCCAGGACGGCCCAAATGATCACCAAAAACGCCCAGGCGGCGTTCTTCTACGAAGTACATCAGATGACCCGAAGATCTTGGTTCCACGCTTGAGGCTCGAGGTTTACAGTCCTCGAACGAGAGAGACAGGTCTCCCCTCCTTCCCCCTTCCGCCTCTTCATACCTCCCTCATCCCCGCTCCTTACCCATTCCCCGTTCATGGACAAGTGCCATCGCAACAGTTTGATGGTTCGTCGTTTGCCAGCACCTTCGCGCGTAAGCGTGCAAGCGCATCGGGCGAACGCGGTGTCGGCCGGCACCAGGGATATCAGAAAAATGAGCCGGTCGCCCGTCCAGACCTCGAGGTCCCCCATGCTGAAGGAAGCGATGATTTATTGTCTTGCCTGGGAAGCGTCCAGAAAAATAGCATTGGCGCGAAGCGCCAATGCAGTCCAGCACATACACACACATATATATGTATATATATATATATGTGCATAGTTATCACAACCTCATGACTACGCTTGCGTGGTCCCTGGAACCCGAGAGGCAACGTGGCAGCACATAGGGAACCCATCCAGGACAAAGTGAACATTTTGTCCTCCTTGTCGTCAGGACTCGTGTCGAGTTAAGACGGGCAACGCAAGTTCCACCATCATCACGTACAATGCTCATTCTCTGATGTCGTTTGACGTTCGTGTAGAACGATGCTTACTGGAACTTGGGGGTCGCAACTGGGATATCATTGCTTTCACAGAGACGTGGAGGGAGGACAGGAGAGAGGCATGGGACACGACACATGGACATCATTGGTTGGGGAGTGGGGGGACGTCTCGAAGTGCTGGTGTAGGTTTTCTGTTGCATCGACGATGGAACCATGTAGTGTTCAAGGCGGTCTCCAACCGCATTGCGACAGTGGACGTTTATGTATTATCACTGGGACGAGTTCGTTTTGTAGTCTTATATATGCCACGCGCTGCACAGGGCGATGAAGAGGTGGACACTTTATATGGCCAAATTAGCAGGGAATGCCAGGAAACACAGAGGAAGGGTTATAGAGTAGTTGTTGCTGGGGATTGCAATGCAGAAATTGGTGCACAACAGGAGGAAGACGATGACAGAGTGATAGGCAACAACTGCACGCATGACAGAACAGACCGGGGATCGCTATTATTGCAATCTTGCTGTTTACAAGAGCTTGTCATTGCGAATTCTTTCTTTGCGGACAACTTCGAGTCTTCGTGGACATACCGCAACGGGGAAAAACGTTCCCAACTCGATTACGTATTGTTGGACAGACGGCTGTTCTCTTGGACACGGAGCTCTTATGTAGCTGGTGACGTTGACATTGGCTCTGATTATCGGCCAGTGTTCGGGGAGATCTCCGTCCCAGACGCTGCTCCTCGGAAGCGGCGCGGGAGACGGAAGAAACGGGCGACACCATGGCAGCCAAGCGGTCGTTACCCAGATATACTGGAACGACGTCTGCTAGAAGTGCCGTGGCAAGAATGTAAAGCAGCAAATCGCATAATCAATATGAACTGTTGCCTTGCCAAGGCAGC